CACTTATCTGGTTGATATTGTAAGGAGAAATTCTGTCTAGGTCACTTGCAGGAGTTAAAGGGTTAACAGAGAGAGGGCTTGTGAGAAACTTGGAGTTCTAAAAGGTGTGTTTATGGACTGTTTGCAATGTATCTGGTCCACAATAACTGACTCATCAGTAATATCATGTATCATATGTAACTGGGAGAATTAAATTGCATATGTGTACTTCACCTGGGTTTAGTAGAATAATGACTTTGATACAAACAAATTCTGCATCATCCAGACTAAGTTCTTTAAATTTTGCAGTCAGTTGCATTACGCGGTGCATGATGTCACCAATTCCTGTTGCTTCTGCAGTAGTAAAGTCCAAAACCTGACGAGGACAAAGAAGCACTCCATTATCTAAATGTAAAGACTGCTTTGTCAAATTAATCAGCATAAGTTCAATCCATGCACTTCCTGAAAGAATCCGTTTATCATTTTCACTAATGTCACGAAGCAATGGCAAGCATTTAAACCATTCCAAATTTCTTTTGATTTGTTCCTCTGCTTGTTGTGTGACATGTGCTAATGTCCTCTGCCCATTATCTGCAATATGACATCCCTGGCATTCTGAAGATTGTACATCAACTGGAGGCTCATATCTCAACAATTCTTTGATAAAAAGAGGAAAAGTTCTGGACGGAATTTTTGTACATGCTGCTCCATCAACTTGATCAGAAGATGAGCTGCTCCTTGAGCTTGTTCTTGCTTGTTTAGCAGCTGGTTGTGATTTGATACGTGAATTTGAAGAAAAAGATGAGTTCTTGTGTTTACCACCTGGTGTGCGATCCTCCCGGACAGCTGTAAAATGGAATAAGAGGCAAACCATTTAAAGATAAAGGTTTAAATGTTTCTCAACCAGTTTGGAGAGATGAAGTGATGAACAGAAGGAGACACAGACAGACAGACGGTCAAAAAGGTAGAATGATGGTGACAGACAGACACAGATAGATAGGCACACAGACAAACAGACAAATGGACACTGAGGTAGCAAGCAGGCAAGAGAAAGTCAGGCACACCAATGGACAAATGACAAATACATGTAAATAAACAAAAGAGGTTGAACACCAGAGTGATTAAAATTCTAACCATAACCCTAGACAAATGTGATAGTGAAAGGCCAAACGGACACTAACGGTTATCTGTTTGAGCGGGAAAACTGTTTGTTATCTGTTTGTCATCTGTTCGAACACCTAAAAAAATCCGTTCAAAGCATTCCACAAACCGTTTGAACGGTTTGCATATCTGTTTGAAATACATTAGCATCCATTTGAAGTATTGCGGCATCCATTCGAACAGTTCTGACATCCGTTCGAACGATTTCAGCATCCGTTTGAACAGTTTTCCATCTGTCTGCCAACTAGAAGTGCCCGTTTGGAGAACTGCGGCATCCATTCGAATGGATTGGCGCCCATTCTGTTCATCCGTTCAAAAAGAGAAAATTGCACTCGTCGTTTCTCTACAGTTATTCAGTGTAGCAGTCGAAACATTATGATCCACATCCATGTAACTAAATCGTGAGACAAACAATTAACTCAGCTGTCATTTTAAACTACGATGACAAACACTTTTCATGAGATATTCAGTAGTTTCAGACAATAACTAAAAACGTTATTTCAATGAGAAATTGGAATAGCCTCAATTTTTGATCCTAAAAATTAACTTAACAACAACGTCAAATCAAATGAAAACAATCCACAGCAACCTTGCCCGTTCCATGATCAAGCCATGCGTTTGAACGCATGGCTAAGCAAATGGCTAAGCAAACCATTCAAACGGAAAATTGTTCAAATAATTTATTCACCCGTTCGAACGCTTCAAGGACTGTTCGTTAACCGTTTGTTATCCATGCGGTTTTCTGTTAGTGTCCATTTTGCCTTTCACGGTCACAAATAATAATGAGCAGTCAAACAAAGCAAGATCTGGCTGGTGCCCAATTGAACAAAAGACAAAAAAAAAGACTGATGGACAGATAGGCAGATGATAGGCAAAGAGCTAGACAAAGAAAATATCAAGTTGATAGCAACCTAAAATATGGCAATAAATACACTGTCAGATTGAAATGAAGAATTGCCATTTTTTGTAAAGTCCACTTAAAATATACATAACAAAAATACAAAGAAAGAGACACCAACCTTCTTTCAACATTCCAGCTTTGATACACTTCTGCAATCTACAAAACTGACAGCGATTTCGGTGTCGTTTATCTACAGGACAATCTTGAGTCAAATTACGGCAGGAGTAGACTTTCTTATTTTGAACACTTCTCTTAAAGAATCCTTTGCAACCTTCACAGCTAGTAACTCCATAATGATGACCAGTTGCCTTGTCTGAGCAAATAACACAGATGTCATCATCAACTGGTGAAGGAACAGTTTGCTGAGGGGTCCCAGGAGATGATGGCGTTCTCGGTGTCAAGGGTGAAAGTGATGGTATTGGTAATGACGGTGTAACAGGAACTGAATCAGGAATTGTGTCCTTAATATTTGCTGATGAGTTAGTCACTATGACAGACTCTTTGAGTGCACAAGGGGAAATGTTACCTTCCCCCTTTCTGTTACCTTTAGAAGGTGAAACAGAAGACTCTGAAAATCCATTTTGAACAGTGGTTGTGGTATGAGGTACAGGTGAGTTTCCAGGCAATTGTATCAGTGAGGGGACTTGGGGAAATTGTTGTGGTGTGGTGTGCTGCATAGCTGCCAATTGATGAGGTGAAAAGAAATGAGGAGCATAAAAAATGCTAGCTTGGGTGAGGTATGGTGATGCAATAGACACCATGCCTCTGTCTCCTTGAACCAAAGGCTGTGGAACAAGAAGTGGCTGTCCATTTGGTGCCAAAAGAATGGCACGAGGAAACATCTTTGGTTCTGTTGGTGATGGCAATCCAGCTGCATGAGGACTTGAACCTACAGGTTTGAACAGAAAGGACAACATCAGTAGGTTCCTTCTATCGACAATAATTCTCCACCTGCTGATTTGCTTAACCCTTTAACTCTTTGAAATGATTAAGATAAACTTTCTCCACATAATAATAGGGATAGCCTTTAGCAAACAGTTGATGGGAAAATTCAAACTTATCAGCGGCAGGGAGGAAACTTGATATACACATGTAATACCCACTTCTATTAACTGATTTATATAGAAATTTATCACATCTGCAAGTGAGAAATAATAGATCTTGAGAGTAAAGAGGGAGAGAAAAAAGAAAAACGAATGAAGAAGAGCTGTGTAAGCTGTAACTGCACTCGTAATATAACCACCTGAATAATTCCAATCCAATTTTTTCGTATTGAAATTAACTGAATGCCCAATCATTGCCTCTTTCATTTACTTTCTTAATCTGACTATCCTATTATCAAGCTAGTAAAAATTGTCAAAACAAATTAGGTTGTCACATCATTATAACCCCAATCCCATCTTAACCACAAAAAGAAGCTATTGAGCAAATATAAGCCTATTAACTTCATTGTTGAAGTGCACGCACATCAATCTTGCACAATAGTTTCTCTCTTTGGTCACACT